CCTTTCCAGAATCCGGCATCTGCCTGGTTCTTGTCTAGTTCTAATAATGGCTACAGGCTGCATGCAAGTCATAGAAGAGTATGAAACTCAAGATGGAAATAAGCTGGTAACTACTGCTGACTATGTTATTAATAATGAGCACATGATGTCCACTTTAAATAATGGAGAGGAAACTAGATCTACAAACAGACATATCAGACTAGAAATATGATACCTTTAAAATTTTCTATAAATAAATTCCATAATTAATCCCAGATTTTGATCACAAACTGTTTCTTATATGGTTATGCCAACCATCACCTTCTACCATTAATAAGACAGTACATACTTCAAAATAGTCAAATTATTTCAAAATTAGCTTAAAGAGAAGGCAGATTAGCAAAATATATTCTGAAGCCAAACTAATTATAAAAATATTTTAAATATTACATCAAAATACCAGTAAAATATTTTTTAAAATCATCTGTATCATTACATTGCCCCACTGGTTTTATATTTATGCTACATAAATTTGTAAGAATGTCTGTTTACTAAGGTTAAACAACACATAGCAAGAATAAATTCCCTGAAGCAGATTAAAAATTGTCATATAACACTATCCTTTCTGGGGTATTCTCAAGACTTCTACCAACTGACACAAGGTGACCTCTGTCCCAGAGCTATTTTGATCAGTTACAGCTGGCAAGCCACAAGGCTTCAGGAAGCCCATCACAAAAGTAGCCGTTTCTCTAGTTCTCCTGCCAACCCTAGTTCCTCACCAGAAACTTGTTCAACAGTTGCCGAAGCAGCACACCAGGAAAGGTCTTCCTGCTTACATATCCTGACTAAATATACCATTTCCCAGAGTGTGTACTACAGACCCCTGCTATCTCCCAAGGTAACAGGTGGTCAGACAGACTTACCAAATATTGGGTGTTAAGCAGAAGTTACTTTAAGAATTCTCACAGCTTTCAATACGTTAAAGCATATCCTGAATTTCCTTGAGTAATAACTGACCACAGAGAAATAGGTTTTCACAAAGCATCATGTAAGTACCGTTATTCCTACAGTTTGGAAATCCTTTACCATGAAGCTTTCCTGACCAATCATATCTTAGAATGAGTCTATAACTGAAGAAACATGTCACTTTCTAATTAACAGGTTCACTGATTCCTAAAAGTTGAAGAAAACAAATAATCTATCCAATTTGCAATGCTTTCTATACCAAAGTGGTCTACTCCATTTTTTAGTTAATTTACAGACTTCTTTCCCCTGAAATGTACTCAACAGAAATCTACTTTTTGCAGGGAAAGTAGATAGCTCAAGTGGCAGAGCACATGCTTAACATGCAGGAGGTCCTGGGTTCAATCCCCAGGACTTCCTCTAAGAATAAATAAACAAGTATATCTAATTACCTCCCTCCACAAAAAAAAAAGGAAATCCACCTCTTCCATCCACTGAATCTAATTCTACCCCTGGATTAATGTTATTAAAAGAAATCAAACTAATTCCTGATGCATACAAAAGCCCTTCAAATACATGACAACTCTCAATCCACCACTTTATGTTTATATGGTACTAATTTTACAAAGTTGTCTTCCTATACATTCTTTCATTTATGCTTCACAAAAATGAGTATTATCATTTTGCAAATAAGATTAGGGATTAGGCTGCTATCATGACTAGAGTTCAATGATTTGCCCAACCTCACAAAACTATCAGGAGATAACAGAACTTTTTATCAAGGTCTTCCAAATCTAAGGATAAGCTACACCTTAAACTGATCAATGGCTAGGATTTGTAACAATCCTTTATTCTCAAAATGCTGCTTGGAATATGTTTTCTGTCTTAAGATACTCAACTTCAGCTATGCACCCTACACTTAGTGGTGCACCCTATGTACTACAAGCACTAAGCTAAGTCTCCTCACATATTCTCTCATTCCTTAAATAGTGATTACGCCCATTTTACAATGAAAAGGTTGCCACCTTTCCTACAGTCACCAGCTGATAAAATGGCAGAACTAGGACTTAAATCTAGCACTTTGAGCTCTATGTTAAGAGCTCCACCCCCCCAAAAGTCCAGTACTTGAAATCTAGAGATTCCTCTAAGACCCCTCATTTTGCCTCTACATTCTTAAATAACATTACCAAGTACTGATACAGTGCAGCACTGCTTCTTACATAAACTCTTTCCTGAAGTGACACACTTAACCATGCCTACTAAAATTCAACCTGCCTTGTGTGACTTCAGGAAGCCTTCCTAGACTGAGCTCACTCAACCTGCTCAATCCTCTGCATCCTATTCTTACAACTAATTTCTGGAATCACATGGCCTGCGTTTGACTCTTGGCTCTATCACTTAGTTCTGTGACCTTGGACCAGTAACCTGACCTCACTGACCCTGAGTTTCCTTATCTGTATGATGGGGATAAGAGCACCTGCCACACAGGGCCCATGGGGAGTAAATGAGATGATCCATGGCAACTATTCACAGGTCATCAGGCACTTTGCAAGCACTGTAAATATCTGCCACAATTTTGTTTCAAAAAGTTTTTCACTTATTTGTAAAGAAGCAAATACACGGTGAATGGTACGACGTGAACCCCAGCGTTCACACAGTGTTTGTGCCTAAAGACGAATCAATACCAGTAAAGAATGATCAAATAAAACTTCATCTCCTCTGAGGTCCTAACATCCTTAATGACCCAAATATGTTGCGAAAGTAAAACACAAAGAATTGACATGGGTAAAGCAAGTGGCACAGTAAAGAAAACAAAACCTCACAGTTGCACACACCCTCATCTTTAAATCCTGTCACTTAGGAGGCATGTTACTCAGGCAAGTTATTTCACCTCCTCAGAATAAATGGCCTTTATAACTATCATCAAACACAAATTTTTTTGAAAATCAAATGTGACTGCATAGGTAAAACACCTGGCACTTTTTAGATGCTAGAAAAAATGCCGGTTTCTTTCTCTTATTTCAACAACTTAGGCTATAATTAGAGCTTAGAACTAGGGTGGCAGCAATGAAAATGGAAAAGCGTTAACAGCGATCACAGAACACACTCAGACTTTGTGAAAATGAGAAAAATAACTAAAGTGAGTTTTAAACTACCAAGTCAGTTTGTGACCATGTGCACAAGGAGTTTAACAGCATATCTGGACTGGTTTCACTGCGGCACAGGGGTAGCAGCAAAACTCTTGGTGCTTCCTGTTTGAGAGCAACCTCACAACCAAGGAATCCATGCCAATCAGCCTCTGGTAGGGCTGGGTTTTCTTGTAAAGATCACGTTAACAGACTGTATGAAAAGAAAGCTGATTTCTGAGAAGAGCTGAGGAGGCAACACTCAAGAATAAAGTTTTCTCACCTGTCCCTGGACCCTCCTAGAAATAAAAGTTGAAAGACATGAGCTCTTCAAATGAGGTAGACTTGAAGGGGAGGAGTGATTCCCATGGAATGTGCTGCAAACTCAACCTGCTCATGGCTGTGGGGTCACACAGCTACTACAAGGTGACACACAAGCACACAAACACAATGCACACAAGCTTCTACTTCACTTAAAAGGAGACCAAGGGAGAGGTATAAAAAGCAGAGATAACTCCAGTTGTCAAGAAAACCTTGTTAGGACCAACAGACAAATAGCTGTCCCTTTTTACCCAGCCTTATATTTCTTTTGACTTCAAGATATCAATCTTAACCTTCATCCAGTATCTGCAGCTTCAAATTCAAAAGATTTTATACAGATGTACTGGATATTTAAAATACCAAACAGAACAAATTCTACAATCTAAGAGTAAAAGATGTTACCTTCACAATAACCCTATCATACAGGTTAAGTGTAAAATTTTATACTAATGTCTACTAGTATTCTTGTCAAAGTTTAGCTAACATTGAATCAACTAAAAGTAGTTTATAGATTGTAGGGTTAAACTAAACAGAGCTAACAGCTCTGATTCATCATTAGGTTAGGCTGCTTTAGTATTAGCTAAACGTTGACAAGAATACTAGTAGACACTATACATAATCTTCTAATAACCAAAAAAAGTTCTAACCCTATCAAAACACGGGTCTGAAATTTTCTATGAAGACTTAAAAGGAGAACAGATGGTCAGAAACAAGATTCCTGGTTAAATATTAGAAAAATTAAATGTTTTAAAAATCACAGATAAGTGCTGTATTATTTTATTTGTGATTTTTAGATTTCTCAAAATAGAAAACACACACACACATCAGCATTACAGCAATCATGTAATTAAAGATGGTCACTGCTGCTTGTAATCAGTTCCAACGAAATGAACATGTGACTTCCTGAAGAAGTTTTTTTTTGGAAAAAAGAGGAAGAGAAGCGCATCAAAGATGGCTGTCTATTTTGTTTCTTTGCTTGGGTGTTTCATTCTCAAACATTAGTTCTTTCTACCCCACTATAAGCTTCAAGAAGGCAATATTCTTTCCCATTTACCTGGGACCCAGAGCCCAGTGCTCTGGAACATAAGAGGTATTCATCTTTAGGCTAAGCTCCTTTATGGCCATAAAATATTACATGTGAATAAAATTTAATTTACACTAGGGCAGATTTATTCTAATAACTTTACTCAGTGTTTCCATACATCAAGACTGTATAATACCAAAAAAGAATATTTGATCTCCGATTGTGGGTCACGACCAACTCTTGACTAGAATCATTTTGTACCTGGTTAAAGAAAAACCAACTTGCTGCCCCCACTCTGACATTAGGAACTAAGTAGCAAATGCTGCAGAGATAAAGAAAGATACAGAAACTAAATCATGACGATTTAACAATAAGGTGGGAGCACTCCTTATCTGTCTCCATGAAATTAAATGTGGTATATCAATTATTATATACTGCTATGTACAGAGAGAAGTATAGTAGTAAATTCAAAACTGCCACACACTGAAAAAAATAAAAACCTGACTACCCTGAAAACCAGATCCCTTTGACAAGAGAAATTTCCTTAATTAAAAAAAAAAAAAAAAAGACCTTTCCGGTAAACTTACTTGCTAATTTGGCCTGTAATCCAGAAGGTCCAGGTTTTGATGTCTCTGACTTAGAAGACCCTGGAAGAGACAGTTTGGTTTTAGGAAGGCTAACTTTAGGGCTGAAACGAGCAGCCCAATCAAATTTTGAAGAGCCACCAGTTTTACTCTGTTCCTTTTCCCTGCTGCTTCTTCTGGGACTGGGACTGGACGCTGAACGGGAACGCCTGGCCTTGTTCTGGTCTTTTCCTTGTTTCACCCTGGCACCTGGTGGAACCGTGGAGGAGGCCGAGGCTACAGCAGAAGATGAGGAGGAAGTAGAGGCAGCAGAAGAAGAATCAGTGATGGTGCTACACCCAGCTTTGGCTGAGGCGGCTGATTTTGAAGCCAGCTTGGTAGGTTTTGCAGATCTCTCTTCGGCACCAGTTGATTCAGACACAGAACCACTCTTTATACAAGAACTCTCTGTCCTCTTTCTTTTCTGACTCCGTGAACCAGCACTGGCCCCACTCTTTCTGGTATGAGCCTTGCTTGTTGATGGCGATTGTGCAGATTTCAGTTGTTGCTCCTGGTCTAAATGTCTCTTCTTTGACTTACTATGTGGCTTGTTCGTTTCTGAGGGAGATTCAGTATGCTGAAGTGCTTTTGGTTTTTTTGCAGAGCTAGGAGAATTGGTCCTGTTGTAGTCTGGACTAGCACTGCGTTTCACTCCTCGAGAACTGTCTTTCTTAGGCACCTGCCCCGTTTTCTGCCTTTCTGAAGTGTTGGCTCTGTCTGGATCCTCTGGTTGTGGGACTATGACAGCAGATGATGAACTGCAGCTTCTAAGAGGTCAGATAAGAAGAGAGTTAGTATCAGCCTGCCATCATTAAATCTGTCATATAATACTTATTTATAACTTCTCAAATCTGTGGAAATAAGGTTTTTGTTTTTTTTAAGTGCAAAAGTTTTCCTGGTTAAGTCCAGCAGTAAATAAACATAGGCTTTCAAATGGTTCAAAATTGCCAGCGGGGGAAGCAGGTGTGACACTCTGGATGGTAAAACAGTGGAAGATCAGGTTAATTCTTTTGCCTATAGATTAATGACATTAACTCGCCTAATCACAAAACAAGAATTAGGATTACAAGAAAAAGAATGCTTACTTAGCAGTTCAGAACCAGTTGAAACTAGAATATCGAGGGGCTATTCACAAACACTTTGTCAAAGCTTGAAATAAATATTAACATATACACTTTCAAAATGAAGGTTAGAAAGTTTTATACTGTAGTATCAAGTATCTATAGTTACAGTCCTCTCCAAAGATTCCCACCAATTAGATCTTAAGAGAACACTGATCTGTGGCTCTGACAATAATAAACTAAGAAAAATGAATTTAAAATGGCATTTCAGATGCCTATAATGGTTTGTTAAGCAAAAGGAGAAACAGCTCTCTAAGCAAGGAGAACGGCTGCACTGTCTAGGGTATGCTGCATGGATGTCACTATGAAGACTATGCAATTGTTAACCCTGAAATTCTACACCCAGAGAATAATGAAAATAGGTATCATAACATTTTGGGATAACGTGGTAAGTTTCAAAATTACACAATAATTCAAACGCAAGTAATTCTGCCTTGAAAAATGTATAAGCAACGTGAAGATTTACCTTTTAGAAAGGTGTCCCCTTGACAGTTCAGAAGTAGTATTAGACTGCACTTTGGGTGCCTTAGAATTAGATTTTCTACTCTCAGGAGGGCTATATCCCTTATGTTTTGCCTGCCCTAAATGTGACCTGTCAGCAGAAAATCAAAACAGAAATCTATCAGGAAAACGAGATGCAAATACAACACTGAAAGTGAAATTCTTCTTCATTAAAAAAAAAAAAAGCCTCCCACTCCTTCATTATTGACCCTACCCTTTCCCCAAATATTTCTATAATTAAATTATTATTCTATCAAACAATCTGGCCAAGGAAATTACCTCTTAGAACCAGCCCCCTCAATACCCAGGAGTTGAGCTGTTTATAACCAGTTGCTGTAACTGTAAAGCAATGTTATAGTTGCTTAAGCAATAATAAATTTTTCAGCAGTTTTACTGTAGACATTTCAAACATGCTGCATTTTTGCAAAAAGCAAATCCAGACTTTAAATATAAACACTATTCTTATTAGACAATGTAAATCTAAAGGCTTAAAAGGCTTACAGAAAAGACAATCTGTGGTCCCTACAATGATACTGATTCCCAATTTACACATTATAATTCAAGTTAGCACAGGAAATAACAGAAGCAGATAAAATCAATTCTCAAACTGATTTTACAGAGTAAATCATTAAAAGCACTAAACAGTAAATGAACTTATATGAAATCTATTAATAGGGTGATACTTGCTAAGAATTTAAAGCACTAATCAATAGAAAGTACACCAAAAGCCAAGTCCTAAAGAAAGAGAGATAAGAATTTATCACATAATATTCCAAACACATTAAAAAAAATGCACCACTGATACATGGTTGGGTTATAGTTATAAAATCAAATCATTTTGCCAGCACTGTTTTAAAAGCAAGTTTGAGGGACATGTAGAAACAGGTTTCAGTTGTTAGATTTTTAACCTCTGGCAAAGGTTACATGAGATTTACAGGAGCAAAGAAAGCATGCAAGAATATATACCCGGAAAGCTGGTGTTATAGAGGTGAGATATTAATGTAACAGATGCAAAGTATGTAATTCAGGGCCAACATCCATTCTTCATGTAAGTAACATAAAAGAGCACATTCTAATAAAAATAACAAAGTTTCATTACTACCAAAGCTGTTTATTTGGTTAAATTTTTTAAAAGGCTTTCATTCTGAAAACATCTCAAAGGAATTTAGAAATAAGTCACTGAAAACTTCATATAACTTTAACTGAATCCGTAAGTATGCCATTCAGTTATTATCATATATTTCCACCATCTCTCCAAAAAGATGATCTAAGGTTTCTAGTCGCAATATCTTTATTGTTTTCTCCGATTTTTGCAGAAGAATTCAATACTGCATTCTTGAAAGAAGATATGAAATTAGCTTTGCAATGAAAGTAAATAGTTCCTGGGTCCACAATTTCATTTTCATTTTTAAACGTCTAATCCATAACAGAATAGAACTTTCTAAAGACTTAACTAAAATAGATCTACTGAAAAAACTATAGCTTAGTCTTTCATGTGTCTTAGTTTTCACTTCAGTAATTTTTTTTCAGGGTATACATTTTCTGTGGGTATAACCAAGCTGAGCTTTGTTAAGATTTTTATATACTATGATTGAGTTTTTATTTTTCCTAGATATTCTTACACTGCAGACTGAAATTTTGTTTTATCTCATGAGTTTTTATTCAAGAGATTTAATTTCTAGGAGTTGCTTTTGTTTTTGTTACATGTCTAGTAACATAGTTCTACTTTTTTATTTTAATAGAAATGAGATGAATAAATTTTCAAGTCAATTCATAGTTGGTTTTTAAAAAGGAAGGTATCATGTTCTGTGTGTAGGTTCACAATTTACTATCCATGGAACAACACTTACATACTATGTCGTTCAAGTTCTCTACATTCTCATTTTTGTAAAGTTTGCTATAAATTAATTTTTAACTGAATCACAATTTCTAACTCATTTCACTATAAAATTTAAAACATTCCTTGCTGTATTCCTTGAAAATTTAAAATCATATTAAAAGAAAACCTTATCCATTCAAAGATAGACAACTTTGTGATAACGTTCAAGCAGGTTAAGTATTCAAATGTCAATCCTCTTAAAAAAAAAAGCCACAATATAGTTCTAAGTAAGTCTCTTTGGCAACAGAAATTGACCAACATTAACCTAACGTCGAGCCTGCTGTGGAGGCAGAAGTCCTGATCTTCACCCAAACAGTCTGTTCTCTGGTCCTAAAACATATCTAATCTTATATCTACCCACATCCACTCTTATGTCTTTCATGTCCTTACTAACACCTTCAAGGAACTAAAGAATTTAGCAGGTAAACTCTCAATATCAAATTACAAATAAAAAAAGGAAATAAGGAGAAACGAAGGGAGGGAGGAAACAATATTGATTATCTTAGAAAGTGAGGCTCACAAAACTGGCTTAAATCCAACAATGTTCATACTGATCTGATTTGCCCTTTCCTAAAACTGTTGCTAAGTGTGGTATTCTCACTGAGGCCTGGTTAAAATACAGTTTTAAACATTGTAAAGTACTGATCATTACTGTCCTTCTGCCTGTTGTGTGGCACAATCTTAATACATTTTCTGTAAAGGACAGTAAATATTTCTAGCTGTATGGGTGGTACTGTGTGTCACAAAAGCAGGTATAAACAGCACATAAATAAACGGGCACTGCTAGTTTCCAACCAAAGTTTTATTTACAAAAGCAGGCAGCAGGCTGGATTTGGCCCATGGGTCGTAGTTTTCCAACCTCTGGCTTACAAGAGGAGTAGGCAACCAGATGGTTATCGTAAGTAACAAAATGGAACCTACCAAGGTGGGACTTTATTTTATTATGACCACTTATAAAGTATTAATGTTCAGAATACTGTAAAGTAAATAGCCATAAAATAATGATGCCCGATTAAGAGCCAATGAGAATGTAACAGCATTAGGCACTAAATGAGTCTTGATGCCTCTTCTTCATTCATTTTACCAACTCCCTCATTTATCAAACCTCATTGCTCAACATTAATTTTTATTAAAAAGCATTATCTCTTTAAGACCCATAAAATTTATACCCCCTATAATTAAATCTGCACAAATAACACAGTAAAGTAACACTAGAATGAGCCCATTTAGTGAATTATAGCTCAAGGAGAGTTGGGTGGGTGAGTAGAAGGGTGTGGATGTGGGGAAACACATGTTCAGGAGCTTCTGTATCACCCTATGGGTGTTCCTAAAAAAAAAGCAACAACAACAAAAAACAAACTCATGCTCTGTAAAATCACCCACTAAAAATAATTGGACTAATGATGAAAATACGACTGGACACAGAGTACTCAGATCTATGTTACTTTGTAATGAAAGTCCTAACAAAAACATCAATTAAAATAAAAGATTAAACCTCCACTAGCATCTGTACCAATAATCACGTTCCACTCATTTGAGTCTTATGTTTGTACTTTCTCCTTTAAGTATAAATTTTAAAAAACATTTTCTTTTAGGACCAGCTTCAACAAAAAAATACAATTTTGTCATTTTCTTTCTTTATAAAAACAGAATTAAATGGTTTTGAGCTTCCTGAGAGTGTTTAACAGTGCAAAGTGTGGTGGTTCTGGCAGCCAATGCACTAGCTATTTTTTGCACTAATGATTTCTTTAAATCATTTCTGCAAAATTTCCAAATTTTTCATAAGACCTTCATAGATTACCAAACCTTTCTCTTTAATTGAAGTGTCTGTCCCAAATTCAGTTCATATATTAACACTATGGGGAAAACTGGGGAAAACTGCCCATGAACCGACACTATTCCCACATCACACTGACATCATTTTCCCTGCTTACCAAGCTTATGTGGGCCAACTCACGTTAAAGAAACCCACGATGCCAACAGAACCAACCATAATCAGTTTTGAGTCA